ATAGTTCTTTCCCTGATTAAAGCCATTAAAGGAATAGTTCACCCAAAAATGTTTTTTTGTTTGTTTATCTGCTTACCCCCAGGGCATTCAAGATGTAGGTGACTTTGTTTCTTCAGCAGAACACAAATTATGATTTTTAAGTCCAGCCGTTGCAGTCTATTAGTCGTATAATGCATGGCAATGGTAACAAAATCTATGAGAGTAAAAAAAAACATGCACAGACAACTCGCCAGAGCGCGTACACACCTCACGCATCGGATGCCGTGTGCGCGCTCAAGGAAGTTGGACATAGTGGTGTATTAGAGGTAAAAAATTATATAAATACTGTTCGGTTTCTCGCACAAACCGATCGTTTCGTGTCGTCACAAGCCGCAGGGGTTAATTTAGATTTGTCTGGGCATGTTTTTTTTACTCTCATAGATTTTGTTACCATTGCCATGCATTATACGACTGATAGACTGCAACGGCTGGACTTAAAAATCATAATTTGTATTCTACTGAAGAAACAAGGTCACCTACATCTTGGATGCCCTGGGGGTAAGCAGATAAACATCACATTTTCATTTTTGGGTGAACTATCCCTTCAAATACACAGTGTCGTACCTTTATCTTTTTGTCTGATTTTCAAATAGTTTTTTTTGCTTTAAATTAAAGTTTGTTATGTAGTGATTCACCTAGTTTTTCTTTAACATAGACTGTTTTAAAATGCATGGGAGAAATAAATGGGAAAAATTCTTCTGGAACCAAGGCCATTGAAAAAGTGGACGGCACTGATGCATTCTATTGGACAAGCTGTCTATGTTTGCATGCTCCAGAGAAGATTATCAGTCTATGTGTTAGTGGTTGGGATTTTTCTGTGTGTCTTTCAGTCAGACAGTCTTTATGAGTGAGTCAATGAATCGTTCATACAACCGGTTTGTTGAAAAATGCTGATTCATTCAGGAACAAAACAAGACTTTGTGAATGAGTCATTGAATTATTCACTTGATTTGTTCAAAAACACTGACCTGAATGAATTGTTGTATAAAAGCACTATCACAAAATTGTGCTGCTTTTTATTTTAATCCAATAACTTCTCGTTATAAATGACCCAAAGCATCATTGCTTATTCTAACTAGATGCTTTCAAATTAGTAAACTTTTGAACTAGCAATGGCAAGTACACAAGACAGTCTTTGGGATACTCCTTTGTTTTTCCTCGTTTATTTATGTACTTGAAGGAGTATGACTTATCTTAGTAGGAGTAGCTTCAAACCTATCATCTTGCATTATTGTACATGTAATAAATCAATGGGGTTGCGACCAAAAATAGGTCAGCTCACTTCTGATAGGGTGACAAACAGCAGGGGAAACACTATGCCAAATCCATACAATCAAATGCAATAATTATGCCTAGTTAGGACAGCAAAGTAAATAGACTTATCGACTTTTAAAAGTAAGTAGAAAACATTTCCATATCTTTTGTTATTGACGTCAAATGTTTTGCATCCAGTCAAACCCGATGGTGTTCAGATTCTCTTGGCAGAAGCTATATATATTGGCTCCAGTGTTTATTCATGTGTTACACTGCTAAATCACACTTCTGTTGTGTTCATACATTTTCAGCCTATGTCATATTAATAATTTGCAAACATCTTACCATATGAAACACCAGTCTTACAATAAGTTAATTTGGTGCTATCATTATGTGGAACTGAACGAGACATCTTTTAAAAATGATGAATGGATGGACCAAAATTCTTCAAGTTTTTAGAAGCATGCAGGGAAAGATACAGTGCGTGCAAAATAAGTATTTCCATGCGATGCTTGGAGAAAGTTGAGTGTTTCAGCTGCAGGGATCTGTAAGGCAGGGACAGAGCCATCTGTTGTGGCTCAGGAACACAAAGTCATACAGCGATCCAGTTAGACTTCTGATCTCAGTGCCAATGAGACATTGTTGTGGCACTGTTTGAAAACTGTCATCTGGCCAACCTAAACAAGCTTAAAAAAATCTATTACAAAGAATAGGCAGACAATGTTAACAAACTGTATATGCAATGATGGCAGTTAACCCCAAAGTCTTAATGTGACACAATTTTCTCAGCTATATTGGTCTATTTTTTTCTTCTTCTATTTCTGTTATAAAATCAAAGCAAATCAAGATTGTCGACAAGTCTTTGAAATTAATATATTGTAAGGCACTGTACCGTAACTGTCACTGTCACCCAACAGACTGTCACCCAATAGGCCCCCAAAATTGAAAATTAGTTTTTGTTCTATATATATATATCATATAATATGGTTAAGCAATATCACAAAAGTGCTGTTTTTCCAAATGTAACATTGATTCAACCATTTTGAACAAATTGGTTAAGTGAATGATTCAATGTAAATACATTTAAAGTGACCAATACCCTACAGCTTTTTGAACTAAATGGACACATGTAAATGATGGTATTTTATTTTTCAAGACTGCATCAGGCACCCCATTTGACACAGAGCACACAAAAAAAATTCCTCCATACCTGTAATAACATTAGGTAAAATAAACTAGCTAAATTAACTAGCTAACTAACTACAATTGACTAGCTTGCTTAAAGGAGTCATATGACATTGCAAAAAAGAACATTATTTTGTGTAATGCAATGTGTTTATGCGGTTTAAGGTTTAAAAAACACACATTTTCCACATAATGTACATTATTGTTTCTCCTCTACGCCCCGCCTTTCTGAAAAGCGTCGATTTTTACAAAGCTCATCGGTCTGAAAAGCGAGGTGTGCTCTGATTGGCCAGCTATCCAGTGCATTGTGATTTGCCGAATACCTCAAGCGTGTGATGGAAATGTTACGCCCCTCACCATACTGTGATGCCGTGTCCAGGTGTGACAAGACAAAACCAGTAAAAACCCATTATAAACGAGGCATTTGTTGCATCCAGTGGGGACATAATTACTGATTATAATGACTTATACTGTCTTTTTACACGTTGCATTGTGTATCGCGCTGCGTAAACATAAAAACATGTCTGCATTTGTGATCGGAGAAACGACAAACAACAAGCGCTACTCTACACTGCTCAAAACTCGCCTTTGAATCATCAGTGGCAAATTCTTTAAATATGAAAACATACTTACAGGCTGTGAGTCAGAAGCGGCAGACACCGGCATTGTAGGCTACTCTCACAGGAAGCAGTCCTCATCCTCCATAAAATGCGCTGCACACATCTGAATATTTGAGTTGAACTGTTCTGGAACAGTGTTGTAAATACAACTTAACCACTGATTTCTAGTTGTGTCCTCTTTTGGAAGACCAAACAAAGTAATTTGGCTTTCACAATGAAACACACATCGTCTCCACAACATGGCGGCGGCGGCAGCAACAATACTACAGCAAAAATAAAACTTACATTTGGGCGGCGTTATGCAAATCTTCCCCCATCGTGACGTAGACATGTAGGGGCGTGTAAGAACGAGCCGTTTTAGGTAGGCGTGGTTGACTCTTAACTTTTATAAACAATATCTCTTTGGATTTGAGACTTTAGTCTCTGCAACGTTACAGATCTTCTTTATGCACCAAGAGCTTGTAACACTCCAAAGAAAAAGGAAAAATTTAAATCGCATCATATGACCCCTTTAAATTTGATTTAAGGTTGACTAGCTAGCTAAAATGGGTGCTATTTGCCTATTTCTGTGAGCAGTCTTGTGTTGTTGCATCGAGCTGCTTACTTAGACATCGTTCAAACAGTGCCAAGCTCTAAAGAACTTTCCACCAAAGATTGTGGAAAAAATGAAGTCAAGAAAATGGCTGTGTGTATTTAGTTTCCCATGTCCATTCCACACCATCTCTATGCATTTCGATGAACAATCATTACACTCTATGGAAGGATCAGTAACAGTTAACAGTTTTTTTCCATATCATTTGATATTGATAATTATCATGATAAATTTATAATCATTATTTCTTTCCAGTTTAAATGCAGTTTTTTGCTCATACGTGAAACCAGACTGTTAATTGTGGTTTTAAACTAATCTTTATGGTCAGAACATGACAAACACATTTTTCATTTATCCTTAACACAATAAATATTGTAATAGAAAAATGTATGTCTTAGTTTCTGCATGTTCTAATGAGTGATATTGTTTCAAATCATCAACATGTTTGTGTTGCCTGACTTTTATGACTAGTATCTTAAGCACAGTTTGCAGTGCATGTAGTAATATTAATAATATTACATGTTTTGTCTCTTAGAAATGCTCATTTGACAGTAGCTTGAGTTTACAGTAGTAGTAGCTTGAGTTTGGATGCAGTTGACAATTTATGTTCATTATCAAAAACAGTAACATATGTAATAATTTTAACAACTACAATTTATATGGTGAAATGTAATTATTATGACTGTTGAGTTGAGTTTTATCCATGAGCTACTTCCATAGTAGCATACATTTAGATCATGATAATAACCCCAGTTAAAACCACACATATAGCACCTCAATACCATGGTATTCTGGGTATTTGTATGAAAAGCAGTAACAAAAATTTATTTAGTATGATGCACAAACACTATAGCTTAATCACAAAAATAGCCTGTAATTATATTCCATTACTCCTTTAATACATTTAATACATGCCTACATTAATATTATAATAAAATTCAATTAAAATTTCTGCCACAACACCATGGTGCAGTCAGTGTTACTACAGTAAATCCATGGTAAATGATGGCGATCTGTAGATTGAAAAACTTTCTGACTGAATCGTTGAGCACAGTGTTTCTCCTGTTTGTCATCACTGTTTTGCCTGCCTTTAAACTAGTTTAAATCACTGAGACATTTGAGTTCTTCGCCGAATTCAAGCGCTTCGATCGATTGTTTATAATTTGATGTTTCTTTGGTTTATTGTCTTCATCCCAATGTTACTGAACACAAGAAATCAAAACTGAGAAAATGGTGACTTTTAATTTGGCCCAGTGGAGGGTGTGATGAAAAATTATGCTAATGTTTTGTTTTTTTTACTCTGGCTACAGTTCACAGCAGAGTCCCAAGAGACAGAAGACCCTTCTGAGCTTGAGCTGTCAGCAGAGATCATGAGGAAGAGCCGGAGCGTTTTGGCAGTGACACCTAGTGATGTGAGACATTTTATTGTTGTGTTTAAACATGAATAGATGATAATGCTATGATGTGATTTTTTATTCTGCCCCCAATATATGGTCAATGCAATTTAGATGTTTAAAAAAATCACTTATTTTTTCTCCTAGTTTGCCCTTTATATGTTTTACCTATGAAACAGCCAGGTTTTCTCTGCAATAACATCCTATGTTCCTATGATTTCTAGAGAAAGAACTAAAACAATCAACAAGCTCTAGGCAAGCCTGTGCTACAAGAACAAGCCTTATGTCTACAAGAACATAAACAACCAATTAACCACACACACAAACCCAAATACGCACACACATAATATTAATAGCTATTTATGTGGGACATGGGAAAAGATGGCAGGCACCATAAAACCTTACCAGAGGAAAGAAGGACAGAGTCGAAAAAGGGCAGTCATTCATTTGTCTTCTTGATGTTTTTAATAAGCTGATGGTTGTAACCAAATTAGGCTTAACATTTTACAGTCTTTGAATTCTAATTTACATCATATTAATTAAACTCTTCTCTTCAAAGGTGAAGAAGGAGGCGGGAACCGGCGAACATTTGAACAAAACTTTAATAATAAAATAAACACAAAATAGTGTGACAGCCCCTTGCGGATGACTGTCGCGCACAAACAGAACCAAAACACAAAATATAATCCAGGCCTTTTCCTCTCTCGTCTTTCACTGTCGTAGCTCCTCCTTTTATCCTTCCGGAGCTCCCCCGTGAGACTCGAGACCGGTGAGTGGTGCAGGTGTTGCTCATTATCAATTACTCCACTGGCCTCGCTCCATTCCCACGGCTCTCGGCCCCGCCCCCACTCGTCACATACCCCCATCGCCCCTCGCAGGCCGGGGGTACTCCCGAGACTGCGCTTTACCCCCCCCCTCTGGGGGAGCCGATCACGGCGGCCGCGGCATACCTGGGGGTAAGGACAGACAGACGAGGCGAGAGAAAAGGAGAAGGAAGGATGAGGAGAGACAGATACGAGAGAGGGGAGAGAGGAAAAGAAAAAAAATTTATCGGTCCGGTTCCCGGACACACTGCCGCTTGCTCCTCAACCGGCTTTAGAGGCTCTCACTTGCAGTGCCATGCGATGGTACTGGACATCGTTGGTGGACGGCCCACCGCTCCTCCGCCTCCTGGCGGACGGCGATGGCTCCTCCTGTTGAGGGCAGCCGGCAGCGAGACCCCCGTTCCCTGCTCCTCCCCAATCATGGTGGACGGCAGCAGGCTCCGGCCTCCTGGCGAACGGGGCCGACGCCTCCGCTCCCTCTCGGAAGGCAGCCACCCCTCCTCGACCCAGGAGCGTGGCAGCGAGCTCTCCGTCCCACCTCGTCTTCCATCGTTCCAGCACCACCGCCTCGGGCAGCCACCGGCGGTATCTCTGCTTGTTCCTGCTGCCCGATCTCCTCAGCACCGCGATCCCCCTCAGCAGCGAGGGCTCTCTGACAGTGTGTCCCTCCTTCCTCCTCCCGGGTTTCGGCACCAATGTAACACCGTTCGTAGGTCGGGAAGAAGGAGGCGGGAACCGGCGAACGTTTAAGATTTTAATAAAATAAACAAACACAAAATGAAAGTAAAGCGGCAACCCCTCGCGGACGACTGCCGCACACAAAACACAAAATAAAATCCAGGCCTGGTCCTCTCTCCACTTTCACTGTCGTAGCTCCTCCTTTTATCCTTCCGGAGCTCCTCCGTGGGACTCGAGACCGGTGAGTGGTGCAGGTGTCGCTCATTATCAATTACTCCACCGGCCTCGCTCCGTTCCCACGGCTCTCGGCCCCGCCCCCACTCGTCACACTTGTATTGTCACAAAATTTAAACCATATTATCGCCTGGCTCTAATCTGCTAAATGCGATTTATGAAAAGAGCTATCCAAAACTAAATAGGGGGAAAAAAGCAAAGACAATATAGCAATGGTCAATAGGACTAGGTACATTTATTAGAGTAAATCTGATCAGTTTCCATTTCATGTTGAATTTATTGTGTAGAGATAGATGTATATTGATTTCTCAGAAGAGTGAAAACATTGTCACTTAGTGATGCTTTCAAGACATTGCTCTGTTTGTTTAAACAACCCGAAACTTTCTTCCTCAGCCAATTCCATGATTTTAACACGGAACGACCGGTTTTGTCTGAGTAATGGCTGGTGGCACTTTAATTGGGCAGTGAAAGTGTTTGGGTAAACGAACATTATTTCTCCTTCTGGTGCATTATTCACACAGAAATTACAGACTTGACCTTTAAAGAAAGGTATACTCAGTATTTTCTTTATTTATGCTGTGCTGGATGATATGACAGTCGGTTTTTGTCTTTGAAAAGTAAAAGAGCCGTGACATTGTTCAACAGAGTTGGCAAAACCTTTGGGAGATTTCATAAAACATCCTCAAAGTTCTGGATTAGGTTCCTGTACTTGGAAGAACAATACCTTCACTTCTTCAATAGTCTATTTGCAAGTACACATGCACAATGAAGTGAAATAATGAGGCTGATATTGATTTTCTGTAAAAAGCAGTTCTCACCTTTCTTCACTAGCACTCAGTGAAAGCTTGACATTCACCTCTGCTACCTATGATAGCGTCCACATCTGAATACCTGCTCAGTCTATGGCTGCAGCCCTCTTATAACCCTCTTCATTGAAATCATTCTTCAGAACAAGTGATGCAGGATTTCATTACTTATGGAGACTTTGACATTGAATTAAACAACATTTTGAAGTAGAAAGGCTGAAATAGTATTTTCTTGTACAGGGTACTCCAATAAACTTAGTTTTATTTGCATCTATAAAAAATTTTTACATTGTAGATTTTCACATTTTTTTCTAGAAGAATTTGAGTGGGGTTTGCCTGTGCATAAGTTACTGTACTAGGCCATTGTGTATGGTTGCTAACTTGCTAGGATGTTGCTGTGTGATTGCTAATGGTTCTGAATGTTTTTGTTTTTTTATAACATTGTTATGCAGTTGTTAGAATGGTTGCTTATTGGTTCAAGCCAATGAAGTGTCAAAGGCATGCACTGTAAAACATTGTGATGCTAAAATGTTAAAGAAAGCTGTTTAGCATCAAAGCAGCTTTACAGTAATAAACAGGAAAATAATAGTATTAGTGTTGCAGAATTCATAAATTAAAAAACAAATTCATTTTCAGCTGTAAAGTAGCTGTTTAGAAGATAATGGTGTCATTATTCAGCTCAATTTAGTTCAGTGTTGATTTAATTTAGTTGAATAACAGTGTCAGTTAGGGCTGCACGATTATGACAAAAATCATAATCGTCGATTATTCCCTTGATATTGTAATTGCGATGATTAATTACGATTATCACAATTTACACTGAATGATGTTTATACCATTGTTTGATGCAACTGCATGCCGTATTTCTATATAAAAATAAACTGAAAACACTCTAACTGAAAATCTTTTAGTGCTTTTCAATAGTATTAAGCCTCAAATGTCAAATATACATCGGATTGGTTTCTTCTTTAAATTATAAAAAAAGTAAAAATATGAATGTACAGTGGGGCAAAAAAGTATTTAGTCAGCCACCAATTGTGCAAGTTCTCCCACTTAAAAAGATGAGAGAGGCCTGTAATTTTCATCATAGGTATACCTCAACTATGAGAGACAAAATGAGAAAAAAAAAATCCAGAAAATCACATTGTAGGATTTGAAGAAAAACATATCTTAAGCGTGCAGAATAACATAAGTGGATTTCGAACGACTAATTGCCGCTTTGAACGATTACATAATTGTGGCATCCATAATTGTAATTGCGATTAGAAATTCGATTAATTGTGCAGCACTAGTGTCAGTGTTGCAAAGTTCATCAGTTATAAAAAAAACTCAATGCAACTAAAGCAAATCTATAGAAGAGAAGTTAATAGTGTCATTGTTCAGCTTAAATCAATTCAGTGTTGATTCAATTCAGTTCAATAACAGTTCAAAGTTCATCATTTATATATTATACATTTTCATTATAGCACTTAATGAAATATAACTGATAAATTGCAAAATCATCCTGTAATACCTGATACACTGTCACCATATTTTGCAGTGATTTTCTAGCAACCACAGCTTGCTTTTTTTTTCTTTTTTTTTTACAGTGTACACTAAACAATTCTTTAAATATTCATGCAATTTGAACTTTTTCAATTTGGCTTTAGCATTCGAGAGAAAACTGAAAATGGCGGTGATGGTCAACTGATATGAGACCATATTATTTACTAAAAGCCAGAGTGGAAATTTTGCACATGGACAAACAGGTCACATGTCCGCCGCGAGCTGTATTTTTCCAATCAATGTTATTGACATTTTAAATATGCAAAAATAGGACAGTAGTCCAATATACAGTGTGAAACATTTTCAAGTGTGAAAAGCCCATGTGATATTCTGGTTACTAGATCCTTTTTCGATTTAAATGCATCACTTATAATAATATCTAGAGCTATGAAATGTTTGTTTCAAATAAAAAACAATTGTCTGACAGTTTCTCACTTGACATATTGAAACATCTGTAGCCTGGTTTTAGTGCTGTGAATGTGAATCTCATTGACTCAGAGGCATATGACCGCAGGAAGGACATGCTGTCCGTCTGTTTCTCTAAGCTACAGGAGAGAATCTGTTTGTCTGATGCTCGTGATCTCTTAGGGCTTTATTGATTTGTACATTAGCTTTTTCCCCAAACTGCAGGGCTTAAAGGAACACTCCACTATTTTTGAAAATAGGCTCATTTTCCAACTCCCCTAGAGTTAAACAGTTCAGTTTTACCGTTTTATAATCCATTCAGCCGATCTCCGGGTCTAGCGGTAGCACTTTTAGCTGCAGCTTAGCATAGATCATTGAATCTGATTAGACCGTTAGCATCTCGCTCAAAAATGACCAAAGCGTTTCTATATTTTTCCTATTTAAAACTTGACTCTTCTGTAGTTACATTGTGTACTAAGACCGACGGAAAATGAAAAGTTGCGATTTTCTAGGCCGATATGGCTAGGAACTATACTCTCATTCCGGCGTAATAATCAAGGAGCTTAGTTGCCGTACCATGTGTGCAGCAGGCGCAATGATATTACGCAGCGCCTGAAAATAGTCCCCAGCACGCTCCCTGTGCAAGCAGGTGGTCACGTTGGTTATGTTGACAGAAGTTAGCCTATTTTCATGCGCTGCGTAATATCATTGCGCCTGCTGCACACATGGTACGGCAGCAAAGTTCCTTGATTATTACGCCGGAATGAGAGTATAGTTCCTAGCCATATCGGCCTAGAAAATCACAACTTTTCATTTTCCGTCGGTCTTAGTACACGATGTAACTACAGAAGAGTCAAGTTTTAAATAGGAAAAATATAGAAACGCTTTGGTCATTTTTGAGCGAGATGCTAACGGTCTAATCAGATTCAGTGATCTATGCTAAGCTATAGCTAAAAGTGCTACCGCCAGACCCGGAGATCGGCTGAATGGATTAGAAAATGATAAAACTCAACTGTTTAACTCTAGGGGAGCTGGAAAATGAGCCTATTTTCAAAAATTTCCTTTAAAGTAACACCACTATTCCACTCTTAATAGGCACTGGGCAGGCACATTTTTTCTACTTTAAAGAGTTAGTTCAACCAAAAATTAAAATTTTATTATTAATTACTCACCCTCATGTCATTCCAAACCTGTAAGACCTTCGTTCATCTTTGGAACACAAATTAAGATATTTTTGATGAAATCCAAGAGCTTTCTGACCCTTCATAGACAGCAACGGAACTACCACGTTCAAGGCCCAGAAATGTAGGGCATCGTTAAAATAGTCCATGTGACATCAGTGGTTCAACCATAATTTATTCTTGTAATGAAGCTACAAGAATACGTTTTGTGCACAAACTAAAATAATGTTTAGTGAAAACTAAAATAATGACTTTATTTAACAATTCTGCTCTTCCGCATCAGTCTCCGCCACCATTCACGAGAGAACCACGACGCATTCCTGTGACCCTGTTAACATAGAACGCGCATGCGCTGCGGCTTGTTTTCAAGCAGAGGAATGCGTTGAATTGTTGAATAAAGACGTTATTTTTGTTTTGTTTGTACACAGAAAGTATTCTCGTAGCTTCATTAAATTATGGTTGAACCACTGAATGAAAGTCTTACGGGTTTGGAACGACATGAGGATGAGTAATAATTAAGGACAGAATTTAGATTTTTGGGTGAACGATCCCTTTAAATACTTGAAGTGGATTTTGTGAGGTCCAAAGAGTTAGAGTTGGTAAACTCCAAGCAAACTCCTACTGACAAGCCTTGTAGCTTAACCTTCAGTCATACTCATCATTAAAGGAGTCAGAGTGGTTGCCATGGTAACCGATCCTCCCAGCGATCGGCCGGTCTCTGGACATACGTCCATGTATATCTTTATTTCTCTTTTATGTATTTGTTTACTTATTTATTTACTGGATCAATGCCTCTGGGCAGCCTTATCCTTCTTCACCATGTTTCCCTCAATTCAGCCATTGAAAATGTCTAATTTTCTCTCTCGGCCTCATATTTTTCTCATTCAGTCCAGAGCATAGCAGCCTTCGGGGCTTTAATGCTGTCTGAGCTGAGGAGGTGTCGCTTGTATTGCAATGGCTGTAACATCTGTAAAGCGTGACATGATTATTAGTTGATACTTCCTACACTTCTCATGGGATTCCCCTTTCCTTTCAATTAATTTCCCCTCCATTAATTAGCTGGGCTATATGAAGCCATTTTTTCATGACCTTCATAGTTGCTCAGTAAAAAACACTTTGTTTTAATGCTTTCAGTTTCACAGTATAACAGATTGTTCAAGATAGGCCCCAAAAGATTATGTTATGTTATGTTATGTTATGTTATGTTATGTTATGTTATGTTATGTTATGCTATGCTATGCTATGCTATGCTATGCTATGCTATGTATGTGTTTTTAGGACCATTAATATTTTTTTCTATTGTGACATTATATAAATGACAGTTCATGTAAATCATTACTTTATTCTTAATGATAATTGGCATTACTGTAATATACTTTATTTATTTCTTTATGAACGAATGAATGAATGAATGATTGATATTTCCAATGCAGCTTTGCAGTCTTGGAAAATTATTGAAAAACTTGGAAAATAATTTGTCCTTAAATCATTTTCATCAAAGAATCAATTTCTGCAAAAAATATTAAGCAGCAAAAACTGTTTTCATCATGATAATAATAAGCACTAATATTAATATTTGAGCACCAATAATAATTGATAATAACTGAGCAGCAAATCAGCATATTAGAATGATTTCTGAAGGATCATGTGACACTGAAGACTGGAGTAATGATGCTGAAAAATCAGCTTTTCAAAACAGGAGTAAATTACATTTTACTATATATTCAGATAGAAAACAGTTATTTTAAAATGTACAAATATTTTACAATATTACTGTTTTTACCAAATTTCTAATTATGTATAATAATTTGTATAATACAATTCTAGTACACTAAATATTACCATTATGCACAAATATACATAATATACATAATTAAATAATACATTTGTAGCTACTGACTGTTAAATAAAAAAATACTAAAAACTAAAACATAAGAAAACATATGAAAAGAAAAAATCCAGACACATTACATGAGAATTTTTAATGAGAATTACCCTTAATGGTCCTGTAATAGAGTTTTCTTCATGCAAAATCAAATTTATTTATTTGCTTCCTCTGGTTTCAGGATGAAATATGACCCAGACTTGTTCTAGACAGGTTTCATGAGATTCATCCAATTACTGCTGTTGCTTTCTGATACAGCTCTTCATCAAAGTGTCAATACATTTCCCAGAATTATAGCTATAGTCCTAAACTCATGTTCATACTCAACCAGTCAAACAGAAGCAGTAGCTGTTTTCTCTCTCTCAATATCTGGATTCCCATCTGTTAGCTATCCCAATGTACAGGCCGTGCTCGAGGAATTCCTGGTAACACTCCTCTCTTCTGGGCAATTCTAATTGTGCTATAAACATATTTGGTGGTGATATATTCAGTCTTCAGCTACAGGCTGTTACAAATGATGTTGTCCAGCGGCTACACTGACAGTGATATGCAATCACGCTGAGGGAGCCAGCTGTTAAACACGCTGTATCTATAAAGAACTGTCAGGAGATAAAGTCAACATGCTGGAGCAGTAGAAACTGAACAGGGCTTGATATAAGTCATGTAGCGTAAATGAGCCGTAGATCACCCAAAGCTACTTCACTGACATCAACCTGAACAAACCAAGATAAGAACACAATTTGTGGAACAGGCTGACTGACAAAGTCCAGTACAGGTTCCCACGCGTTTGTGTGTCATAAAACTTGTGTGTTTGTAAAAGTATTTTTGTGTTATAAGAAAAGTTTTGTTTTCATGAAAATTATGCAAGATTCAACTATTTCCTGATTCTGCATAGAAACTAATTTTAATAGAAAATTTAAAAAAAAGTTTAAAAATATAATACACTATTGGTCAAAAGTTTAGAATAATTCAGATTTTTAATGTTTTCAAAATAAGTTTCCCCAATGGTGCATTTATTTGATTGAAAATACAGTAAAAGCAGTAATATTGTAAAAATCTATTTTCTATTTTAATATATTTTAAATTGTAATTTATTTCTGTGATCAATGCTGAATTTTCAGCATCATTACTCCAGTCTTCAGTGTCACATGATCCTTCAGAAATCATTCTAATATGCTGATTTGCTGCTGATTAATATTTTTGTGGAAACTGATACGCTGCCATTCAAAAGTTTGGGTTATGTACGTTTTTTATTTTATTTTTTTAGAATACTTTTATTTGACAAGGATACATTAAATTTATCAAAAGTGACAGTAAAGGCATGTATAAGGTGATCATGATAATAATAAGAATTATTATTAATAATTGAACACCAATAATTGATAATAATTGAGCAGCAAATCAGCATATTAGAATGATTTCTGATGAGTGTATTTTGAATATATGGTTTTAGGGGAAGGGCTTAAAAACAAGAGTAGTCGATCATTCAGAAGCCAAGCACGTTATTACATTTTTATGGAATATTTTGTTCTTTGGTATAACATACCAATTATAGAGTGCCCTCCAGTGTATGCCTCAACACACTACATGATTCTTGTATATATTATTTCATTTATTTATACATGGATTAATTTCCTGAGGAGTTCATTAATTGTGCATGATCATACTGTATGTAGGTGCTGATGTATAATGTATAGCTACAATATTTCTGCTCTATTTTTATGATGTTAGAACAGCAAGGACCTCTCAGGATGTCCGTCTTCAGGAGCTACGTTGGGTGTGGATCTCTGGCGAGGCTCCAGACGCCATTCAGGAACCCTTGTGTTGCCGCCGTTGTCATGGAGACAGGCAGAGAGGGCCCGCAGCCCTCAAGAAGATCACGTTTCCAGACCCACTTCACTGGGTTTCATTACTCCACCACGTATAGATATCACACCAGTACCGCCTGATAGGTGAGCTCAGTTATGACTGCTAAAATACAACACCAGAATATTGTGTCAGCACATAAATGTTCAAAGATGATTCAAGGTTAGGCTTTTAACTGCTGTGTACTGCTTTTGTTTGTTTTACTAATGAAATCAAAAAATATTACTTACTGAGTGATAGATACAGTTTAGTTTTTTTTATTATTATTTTCTGGATCCTATAAATGCTAAATAGTTTTTTTTATATATGTAGAATTTTGTTTTGAATTTCGAATGACATCACACTAACTGACTAAAAGGTTCATAGTAACTCTGAAAATGTGTGTTTGTTTTGAGCAAAGGAATGTCTATTCATAATCAATTTACAGTCAGTCGATTACATTTTCATGAAAATAAAATGTGTTTTGAAAGACAGATCTTTTTTTTTGTGGGTTATACATTATTTAGGGGGTTTTGCGGGTCTTAAAAAATATAAATTCTCCCTTTCACAAATTAAGGACTGCAAAAATTGAATATATTCCTCAGTATTTTGTTTTCCAATATAAATATCTAAACATCCTTAAATCAAGATAAATTTAATTAAGATGCCAATTTAAGCATTTGAAGTTCAAGTTCAAGTTCAAGTTCAGTTTATTTATAGAGCACATTTAAAAACGGCTGCAGGTAGGCTTGCTGCGATAGATGGTGTTTTCGGTTATAGGGTTAAGTTACGTCATTTGCCTACCGCGGCACCGCCCCCCACCGTCGTTTTTATTATTTTATAGTAACAAAAATAATTTAGCCTAGTTCAGTTAGAGGACAGACACTTTTAAAAACGAAATGCTCAATGCAGCGTGCCGAACCGTGCGCGAACGACAGTGCACCACGGAGCAGGAGTCCGATTTTATTTATCACGTGAGGAGAGTGAGTCGAGCTGACTGACAAGAGCGAGGTGAGAAGGACAAGACGATGGCAGAAGATTGTTTAGAAAGGAAATGCAAAGGCGCCCGTTTGGCAATATTTTAGATTTTGAAAAGGAATTTTTTTTAAACATTTGTTTCTTGTTTATTTGGTTCCACAGTGTTTGCTGATTACTTTATTTAAACTTTGTGTATTTTATTTATTTTACATCAAGGTGTATATGCCATGCCTCCAAGCTTTCGTATTCGTTATGCTAATAAACGTTCTATGTTTCTTATTTATTTGGTTCCACAGTGTTTGCTGATTTTCAGTTTTATATACCTATTTAAACTTTGTGTAGCCTAAGTAATTTGTTATTTTATTAGGCATATATGGTGTATTTTTATTTGTTTTGTTAATAAAAGTTCTATGAGTTTGATGTTGTTGTTGCTTGAATTGACTCAACGCCGAATTGAAAGTGAAAGTAAAATGCGTACGGCACTTTTACAAGCCATTTGAAAGCAAAGAAATTAGGGAAACTCAAACTAACTAACACCCCCACCCCAATGGTGATACTGGTATTACCGGTGTTGTCACACGTCGATTAACCAGTGGGAAATTTCCTCACCGTCACAACCCTAGCTGCAGGCCGACCAAAGCGTTGTACAAGAAAAGATAAAATTAAAAAAGCTGAGTACACTAATAGCAGCAAAACAGTTAAAACCGAAAAATCTTATAAACTGAAAGCAACAGAGAATAAATATGTTTTGAGACATGACTTGAACTCAGACAAAGTGGAAGCCGATCTAATATAGAGTGGGAGCTTGTTCCACAATGTGGGGCCGGCCACTTCAAAGGCTCGGTTTCCCCTTGATCCGCTTCCGGCATTTGAAAGTGAAAGTAAAATGCGTACGGTACTTTTACAAGCCATTTGAAAGCAAAGAAAATAGGGAAACTCAAACTAACTAACACCCCCACCCCAATGGTGATACTGGTATTACCGGTGTTGTCACACGTCAATTAACCAGTGGGAAATTTCCTCACCGTCACAACCCTAGCTGCAGGCCGACCAAAGCGTTGTACAAGAAAAGATAAAATTAAAAAAGCTGAGTACACTAATAGCAGCAAAACAGTTAAAACCGAAAAATCTTATAAACTGAAAGCAACAGAGAATAAATATGTTTTGAGACATGACTTGAACTCAGACAAAGTGGAAGCCGATCTAATATAGAGTGGGAGCTTGTTCCACAATGTGGGGCCGGCCACTTCAAAGGCTCGGTTTCCCCTTGATTTTAGCCGGGTTCTGAGTATCTGAAGAAGGAGTTTACCTTCGGATCTAAGGCCTCTGGTGGGAGAGTACAGGTGAAGTAGATCGGACAAGTAAGAATGTGCTAAGTAAAATTTTATACTCAATTCTAAAATTAATTGGAAGCCAGTGAAGAGATCTCAGAAGGGGGGTAGCGTGATCAAATTTCCTCCTTCCCTTCAGGAATCTCACCGCAGCATTTTGAATGACCTGTAAGCATGCCGTTTGGGACTTAGATATACCAAAATAGAGGGAATTGCATTAATCCAGGCGAGAGGTAATGAAAGCATGGATAGCAATCTCCAAGGAACACTTAGGAAGAAAGGATTTGATTTTCGATAGAGAATGAAGATAGAAAAAGCTCGACCCAATGACTGCACTAATCTGCTTGTCGAATTTGAGGCAACTATTTACCATCACACCTAGATTTCGTACTTGGGGAGAAGGTTCAAAAACTTAAAGGTTCAAAGTCAAGGTGATTTCTTGGCCTGGATTCTGAGGAGTCAAAAACAAGGACTTCTGTTTTGTCTGAGTTAAAAAAAAAGTTCTTGGCAAACCAAGCGTTCACATCCTCAAGACATGCCGTTAGATTGCCTAGAGCACTCTTATTTTTCCTAGACACAGGCATAGAGATTTGCATACCATCAGCATAACAGCGAAATTAGGCTTTATGTTTCCTGAAGATGGAACCCAGAGGGAGAAGATAGAGAGAAAAAAGGACAGGAGCTAAGACAGAGCCTTGAGGCACACCACAGGATAGATTGCGAAGGGAAGAAGAAAAATGTAACAAGCAAACAAAAAACTAAAAAGTTAGAGAAGTTTGTTTATTATTATGAAAAATGCACAAAAATACTATTTTAAAATTTCATTTTCCAAAACATGTTTCAGTCTGAAATGGCAAGAAAATCAAAGCCATAAATCTTAAGTTGTGTTCCAAATTTGAGGTTGCTATCTCAAAAAATTGAGCTTTTAGTAAGATTTTGCTTGGGTGCAGTACCAAACTTTTCCACGAGAGGAAGTTCACTTCCCATTAGTTTTTCAGTACGGTCATTTTTGACCATGAAGTGTGACTTTTTCAGGACCATCTAACATTTTCAAATCATGTCCATGATTTTGTGTGTGTGTGTGTGTGTGTGTGTTCACATAGCAAGTGCCAAATCCTTTACTAAGTTTCTTACTATTCTCATGAAGTAAAAAAAATTGTAAAAATGTTTTAAAAAATATGTAAAAAATGGCCTTTCAATTTAGTCCTTAATTTCTTTTTTTACTTGGTCTTAAAAATGTCTTTAAAAGTCTTAAATGTACCTCTATAAAACCTGTAGAAACCCTGATTATTATACATATCATACGTCATCAGTTGACCCTTAAATAATCCTGTAAAATAATATTAAATAATGTCACCCAGTATGTAACACTGTACAGCGGTTATGGGATCTCATCTGACTGAAACCACACTAAATCCAGTTTACGTAGGCCGCATTTACACCTGATTTGGGTGAATCGATCAAAAGTGGTCAGTCAAGACACATTGCTGTTTATACCAAGTATTAACATTAAGAAATGTCTCGCTTAATGTTGCCTCTCCATCCGCACCTGTCTATCCGTATCAGGTTCATGATCCGTCTAAACAGGGCCAAGTAGAGACTCCAAGAGCATTCCGGAGAGGCGATTCTTGGGAGGTGAGGGTGTGCTGGGCAGAGGTCTGATGAGTAGGCAAGAGGGGAGAACAGAGGGGAAAGGGTAGGACTGAAGCAGATAGTGACAAATAATGAATGTGAAAGAGAGTCCGGCCTTCACAGAACCTCAGCACACACTTCTACAGCCAAACCCCTGGATTGAATGCTTTAACAAAACTCTGCATATGACTCTTCCTCATGGATTTAAAACAAGATGCTGACATTAGCCCTTTCAGTCAAATGATGGAGATAAGTTTGGACAAGGGCTGTCAATCTGATTCAGTCAAGACACATTGCTGTTTATACCAAGTATTAACATTAAGAAATGTCTCGCTTAATGTTGCCTCTCCATCCGCACCTAAACAGGGCCAAGTAGAGACTCCAAGAGCATTCCGGAGAGGCGATTCTTGGGAGGTGAGGGTGTGCTGGGCAGAGGTCTGATGAGTAGGCAAGAGGGGAGAACAGAGGGGAAAGGGTAGGACTGAAGCAGATAGTGACAAATAATGAATGTGAAAGAGAGTCCGGCCTTCACAGAACCTCAGCACACACTTCTACAGCCAAACCCCTGGATTGAATGCTTTAACAAAACTCTGCATATGACTCTTCCTCATGGATTTAAAACAAGATGCTGACATTAGCCCTTTCAGTCAAATGATGGAGATAAGTTTGGACAAGGGCTGTCAATCTGATGTGAAAGAGCTCACAGCTGGTGCAAGAAACACACTCCAAAACTGCCCAGGCATGTTTAGAAAGCTGGTGGTGAATAAAACAGTCCGCCAACCCAGACACTTCACAGTGGCTGTGTCTCATACCTGGTAAGACTCAGTGTTTGCAAACTTGTCTGACTGGATCCTTGCTTTAATTGAGTCTTACTGTGAGTTTTCATTGAAATCAAAACCCCTTCATGAATAAATTTGCCACCAGGATCAATGATTTGAATTATTACGTCTAAGGGAAGTTTGTATGATATTTAGTGTTGTTTGTGTTTAAAGCTATTTTTTAAGACAAGCATCACTGTTACTATTGTTCATATTGCTTAAAGGGGACATCGGATGCCCATTTTCCACAAATAGGTATGATTCTTTGGTTAAAATTCCTCAATGTTTGTGTAAAACAACACCCTTTTTACCTTTTTACATTTCTGTTCACAGTGATCCATTTCGGTG